TCCAGAATCGCGAGCTGAGCTTTCAACGTTCCAAAAAAAGGCAAAAAAAAAAAAAAAAATCGTTCAAATTTCGCATAGTCGGTTTCGATAGTCAAAAATTCCCTCCCCCTCCCCCTTTCCCCCCAATCCAGGGGAAATCGAGTCATCGTCATCGTCGTCGTCGTCGTCGTCGTCGTCGTTAGTCGAAGGACGGTCGATCCGGCGATTACCGGGTCGTGGCCGGTTTCGGTGCACAACGAGCGAAGTCAGCCGTGAAACGAGCGGGCGGCCCTCGACGAGAAGGGGGTGGATCGCGGAACGAGGCCGGAACGGGAGGAATTCGTTTACCGATAAATCCGTTCGTCGTTGCCAGAACTGGATGACGGCCGAGTGGCCAACAAACCGGAGCATCCTCGGCATCCGGCGTACATTTTTCCGCCACTCGACTCGATTTCAGTGACGTGCTATCTCCCCGCGGATTGAACGGTTGTCCCGCAACAACGAGGATCCGGAGAAGGAGAAGAGTGGGCCGTAGTATATAATCGAAGAAAAAAAAAGAAAAGGAAAAAAAAAAAAAAGGAACGCAAGATGCTACTATGGAATGATACCCTGGCTACTCGATAATCCAATTAAAAGAAGAAAGGAAAAAGGGAAGAAAAAAAATAAATAGATAAATAAAATAAGAAAAAAGAAGAGAAGAGAAGAGAAGAGAGGAAGAAGATACTATGAAAGGAGAACGAAAGACGACGACGAGGAGAGATAGATAGATACATAGATAGATAGATAGATAGAGAGAGAAAGGTGTTAGAGGGAGAAATACACGTAACTGCCCAACTGCTCCTATAGCCTAGTTACTTAAGTAAGAACGCGTGCACGAAGAACGGTAGGCCGCTCACGGATCCGTTCGTATTTCGTATTTGCTAAATCGAGTATGTAAAGGGACAAGAAGGGTGAGAACGCGGTGAGAGGAAAAAAAGTAGGGCAGCGCGATGGTCTCGTCGTGAACGCGCCTCGACCTACCCTCGGTGCTCGGGGGGAAGGGACGGGAAAAAGAAAAAAAAAAAAAGAAGAAAGAAAAAGGGGACGAAGATAGAGGAGGTATGAAGTAGACTATGAAATGGAAAAAAGAAAAAAAAAGAAATAAGGAAAAAGGGGGGAAAAATAAGTGGACGAAGAGTGAAACGGCCAATTGTAGAGTCAATCAAAGGTGACGAATGAATGGTAGGGAAAAAGGAAATACTGTGTTACAGGGTGGTCGGTATATATAAGGAATATATAAGGAAGAAATAAATGGAGGATTGGCGTACGTTGAAACGGGATGAATCGCGAAACCAGGATCTTTCGATCGATACACACCGAATTAATATCGTCGTGATTCGCGTAGAATTCCACAGATATCCCATATATTCCCGGATCGTTCGCTCGCTCACTCATTTTCGCACTCGACTACCTAATGAACGTAATGGCTAAACGTAACGATCGATTTCGCGCAGATATATAAGGTGATATACACGTATAAATACATAGTATATATATATATATTTAACGTTATCTTGTATATATATATTTATTTACATATGGTATATAGTACACGATTATGATATTATAGCTTTTCGACTGATATCGTAACGATAAAACGTACGTACACTTTGAAGGGACGATACGACGACACCGAGTACACCAGGGCGGAACGAAACGTTAGGGGGAAAAAATTTGTTACCTTCCATCATTTCTATATGATAATTACAAAAAAAAAAAAAGAAAATAGCTTAAACGTAGTGAATCAATTTAAAAAAAAAAAATATGTAAAAATAATTTTCGACGAAGAAATTCTATTCTAACTCTAACGCTTCTATATATATATATATATATTAATTACGAATATTTAAAAAAAAAATATTAAATCTACATAAGATATAACATTAAGGAAACGAATATTAAAAAAAGAAATCAGCTCGCCTCAAAAATCTACGAGATTCGATAGATACGAGTTCTTTTCGCTATATTATTGTATTTAAAGTAACCTCACAGTTTTGATTTTTTCGTTCCACCCTACGTATACACATATACCGCGAAAAGAGTTGGGAAACACAAGAGAGAGAGAAAGAGCGAGAGAAAGGAGAATAGGGAGAGTACATACGTCACTCGTACATACGCGTTTCGAGTGGAGCGCAAACAAGTACACGTTTTCATCCCCTTAAGGTTTGGGTCCTCCGTGTGTCGGTCGGCTCCGCGCCTCGTCTTTTCCGCTTCGTCGTCGCGAGGCTACGTGGCTCCCGCGTGGATCGAGATCCTTGCTTGTTTATTCGCGGATTAATCGGCGCGTAAACGAATTCCTGGAAAGCTGTTTGCAAAGCGGACAAAGTTTACGCGAGGCTTTGGTAAGGGCTACGTATTGATTTTTCGAGTGGTCGAGTATTTTAAACTCGAGTAGAGAAGTTTTAAAATAGAAACGTAGGAGAAGATGTAATGTGTAATTCTCTCGTCCCTCTTAGAAGGGAAGAATCTTAGCGGATCTTCATTTATAATAGAGATTAATGTTTTTTGAAAATATCGAAAGATTCAGATTTTTAGAATAAGAGATGTAAAATGAATTTTTATCTACTAAATTTTTTTCGTTTCTCTATTACGAAACTATTTTATAAATTAATAATGATATATCTCGAGGTGTAATAAAAAGTTCTACTATTAGTAGTTTTAGAATTTCAGATATTGTTCGTATATAAAAATTCGTCAAATGCAATATTGTATGGAATCTATCTATAAGCGATCTCGACGTATTCGAAAAAATCAATGGATCGAAGCCAATGGAGTAAAGCCGATTTTTCCGTCGAATATTTTCGGCTCAACGATGGTGATTAATTTCACGCCTCTAATGTCGTTCAAGTGACTAATATT